TGGGGGGGGCCCCCGGGGCCCCGAGGGCCCTGAAAGCCCTGAGGCCCCTGGGGGCCCCAACAGCTCTGGGGACTCTGGGGGCCTCGGGAGCCCCGGGGGCCCCCCGGGGGCCCTGGGGGCTGCGGGGGGTTTGGAGGGTCTGGGGGCCCCCCGAGGTGCCCCATGAGAGGCAGCAAAAGGGGTCATGGAAGAAACACCAACCCCACCCATTCCCAGAACTAAAACGGGGCTTTCTTCACCAGCACACTCACCACTGGAGGGGGGCCCCCCTCCATTCGCACCAGTAGAGGGGGGGCCCCCTTCATTTCTCTCAGGAGTTGACGCAGAAGCAGCAGTAGCAGCAGCAGCAGCAGCTGCTGCAGAAGCAGCAGCGCCTCTCTCTTGAGGCAGGCCGGCACTACTTCCAGCCGCGGCATCCTCTTCAAGCCTTCCAAGGGGGGCCCCCTTTGGGGCCCCCTGGGGGCCCCAAAGGGGGGCCTCCTCGGGGGCCCCCTGGGGGGCCTCCTGGGGGTCACTTGTGGGCGTCTCGACGGGGCCCCTGGGGGGCCCCCTGTGCCTCTTTTGGGGTTTTCTTTTGTTTGCGGGTTTAGGAGAAGTGCTGCCCTCTAAAGATAAGCAGCACGGAGGGCCCCCCGAGGGTACTAAAGGGGGGCCCCCAAGAGGGTCCGGGGGGCCCCTAGAGGCTGTAGAGGGCCCCGAAGGCTGCAGATTCTCTTCATCCTCGGGGCACCCAAAGAGTTCCACGGGGGGCCCCCGCTTCTGGGGAGGGGCCCCAAGAAGCCCAGGGGGCCCCTCGTCTGCTGCAGTCTCCTCCGAGGCCAAAGAGGACTCATCGACAGAATAAACTGCAGCAGACAGCGGGGGCCCCTCCTGAGGGCCCCCCCTTGGCTTGGAGGGGCCCCCCCGGGGGGCCCCCCGGGCCCTCGCCGGGGGCCCCCGTTTAGGTGCAGCCCTGACACTTTGGGGGCCCTCTTCCTCCCCAGAGCTCTCAGAGCTCTTTGTGAGGTCTACCATCTCAAGGGGCGCCTTTTGCTGCAGAGGCAGGACCCTTTTAGGGGCCCCCGGGGCCCCGGATGCCCCGGGGGCCCCGAGG